GCCGGGCAGGGGGGAGAACATGTCTGCAAAACCCTGCAGCAACAGCCGCTCTCTGGGCCTGTGTGAGATGGTTATCACAATGGAAGGAGGCGGGAATTGTGGAATTTGGCCCTTGCAACTTGGTGAGTCACTTTTGGCTGGAAGCACTTTGTATCCTGGTGAAAATTGCTTGAGTCTAGCCCCTCTGTTGTGCAGGCACTGTTGATGTTCCTGTGCCTGGAGCAAATTTTCTCATGAAAAGGTACTTTTGGGATGGCTGGCTGGTAAACCAGCTGACAATCCAGGCAATACGCGCACCGTCGGCGCACATCCGCTCAGATGCAAGACCAATAAAATCAGGCCATTATTCGCTCCAGAGTTTTATCAGTACCCACATGCAATGCCATTGGATTATAATGGCAGGGCAGAGTTCATCAGGCTAATTCCCTCCACCTGGACCTCAGCCTCTCTGACACTGCCCCTCAAGCCCGATGCACCACCCCTCCTCTGCAGTGGAGCCAATGACCACACCTCCCTGCCACAAATTAATTTATCGTTGAGCCACAAGTGGGGTCTTTAGCTCAAACAACACATTTGTTTTGCATTCAAACACAGAAGCTTGAAATGTTGTTTATTTTAAGGATGGTTTGCTTCCAGTCCTGGCATTACTGTCTGAATCCAAATGCAATGGCCTGAAGAAAGTCTTTAGCATTGTTGCAACTTTCCTTTGTCACAACCCAGTGGATCTGGGTTCGGAATACAATGACCTTGAACCTGCAGGTGACCACACCACCTCCTGGCATCCTGCAAGAAAACAATCATATTCTTTAGAATACCAACTTATTTGCTTTCTTAAAACATTTTTTCTTGCATTTGCTATAGAACAGATCTCAAGATAGACAAGCTAGCTGCAATATTACACTAATACCAAAAAACACTGCAAATTTCATATAAACAATTATGCTGTCCATCCATCCACCCATCCATTCAGTGTCTTCAGGGGAAAATGGGAGTGATAAGATTTAAAGTACACGGAGTGGAGGCTGACTGGTAGGGATGGGTATTGAAAAGATTTT